TGCAGAGGCACACACACACAGACACACACAGACACACACACACACACACACACACACACAGACACACACACAGACACACACACACAGACACACAGACACACAGACACACACAGACACACAGACACACACAGACACACAGACACACACACACAGACACACACACTCTCCTGCCTTTACCTCTGGGACATAATTTCTTAGATAATGAGCATATCAGTGCCCCAAACGGTATAAGCGGCTACAAGACAAAGCCAGAGGCATCAGGCATTCTGCTTGAATGGTTTGTGGTTTCTGTTACAGGGTCCAAATCCAACCTTCTGCTGAACTTCCACTTCTGATCAAGGTAATGGTTCAGAGGACCTAAGCAACATCCCTAAAATCAGGTTTAAAGACTGGCATCTATACTTACAATGTATGAGGCAAACCAGCCTGTAACCTCTTCACACCAGCCTGTAACCTCTTCACACTGAGCTTAGCTTCATCTTCCAATTATTTGTCTGAATGCTCATGCCCGATTTTGGTAGAAACAATTTACCATAGTCTGAGACTGAGCTGAAAGCTTTGTTTCCTGCCAAGAATCTTGAGAGGATAATACATATCCAAGCAATTTGCATCAGTGGCATAGCATCTAAATGCCCTACAGAAGGCAAACACAATATATTTGTATGCTCCATGGGCAGGAAGACAGGCAGTTCTTCCAGTGGAGGCACTAAGATATGTAATGGATTGTGCTGTATATGTTCAATGATGGGTCAAGGTACAGAAGATCAAGCTAAAGGGAGAAAACCACTGCAGGTTGAAAAGTTAGAAGGCATTACAATTACATACAGAAGAAAAGGGTGTAGTCTTGTCGATGGGAGAAATGGATGAAGATCAGGGGTCTGGGCTCCTTGACCTCAGGCAAGTCTTCCGAAATCCCACTTCCTCTCCTACCCTTTGTCTGTGTGGCTCCCAGGAGCTTCAAGACAGGATTGGTCTCAAGCGCAGGAGTAACTGTACTTTATCTCGGTCATTTCTCTTAAGACATATGATAAAATCACTTCATATATATATAAGTATTTATATATATATATATGTATATATAAAGCAACCTTCGAGATAGCGTAAGAAGCTAAAAAGGAAGAGACACAGAATGCTTTGGGAACATGTAGGAGGACCAGAGTTCACAGCCATTCACAGTTCACAGTTATTAATCCACTTTCAGGACAAGCCTTTTACTGAAGTTTAAAATTAAATTTAAATTAAAGAAAGACAGGAAAAGAAAGACAAGAAAAGAAAGAAAAGAAAAGAAAAGAAAGAAAATAAAAGAAAAGAAAAGAAAGAAAAGAAAAGAAAAAGGATTTTATCTCGAGCCAGCGGTCTGGCTCCAGCCTCAGCACCCGCCCGCCGTGACGCCGGCAGCGGAGCACCCCCCCGCGGCCCCGGCCCGGCGCGGGCAGCCCCCGGCTCGCTGCGCTGCGCTGCGCTCCCCCCGGCGGGCGGCTCGGCGGTGCCGCGGGCGCGGCGCGGGCGGGGGCCGAGCCCGCGCGGCCGCTTGTTGATCGCGGCGGCCGGCGCCGCTCCGCGCTCCGGGCTCCGCGCCGGGGCCAGCCCCCCGCCCGGGCTAGCCGCTGCGCCGCCGCTCGCATTCTTCTATTGCAATAGCGCAAACCCCTCCTTTATTTTTTTTTCTCTCTCCCTTTCTTTTCCTTTTTTTTTTTTTTTTTTTTTTTTTTTTTTTTTTTTTTTTTTTTTTTTTTTTTTTTTTTTTTTTTTTTTTTTTTTTTTTTTTTTTTTTTTTTTTTTTTTTGCATGAAGATGGCGGCGCCTCTCGCCAGCAAGGCAGGGTCCGCCGGCACCACCAGCAAGCCTCCCTTCCCGGAGCTGGATTTCCGATCGGGAGCCAGGGTGGAGGAATTAAATAAACTCATCCAGGAATTCACCAAGCACGATCAAAGGGAGTACGACGACCAGCGAGCCCTGGAGATCCACACGGCGAAGGACTTCATCTTCTCCATGCTGGGTAGGGCAGGGAGCGGCGGGGCGGGGGCGATGCCGGCCGGGGACCCCCGGGCAGGGCTCCCGGCGGTGCGGCACTAGCGGACCCTTTCCCCGCGCCGCGGGCCGGGCCGGTGGGGGGCCGCTCGCAGGGCAGCTCTCACCCCTAGAAAACTAATCTTTCCTGTCCTATCCAACTAGCCTTTAGCAGCGATGTATTTATAAGCACAGAGGAAAGGCTGGGTCGCAGAGCTGACCCGTGCCCGAGAAACACGCCGAGCCAGCAGGGCTGCAGGCGAGACGAGCCCGACCCTTTATTGTTTTTCCCCCCAACTATCGAGGCATAGGAAACACAGATTTTATTTTTTATTTTTTTTTTTCTAGACTGCTTATTTTGGTTATTAGACCGGCGGATGCTTGTACAGGAGCATCTCCCGAACTGCCTTTCTTGCCAGATTGTGGCGGGGGAGTCTTAATCTATGTGAAACTTTGAATCGCGGGCAGGGATCCTTAAACCAGGGTGAAGCATGTGTTGGCCCTTGCGGAAATCACCTGGGCTCTAGCATGACTAAGGTTTCTTAAGAGTAACAGTAGAATGACTAACACCTCTGATTCTCCAGCTAGTCAGTTTCTGATAAATATTTACCTTGAAGTAACTAAGAAATCACTCAGACGAGTAAGAACCTTCAGGATACAAAAGGATGCTCTTTAACATGCAGATTAGACCTTGAAATCAGTCATCCAAGTTTCAATCATTGTCTTAAACACCCTCTCAAACATTTTTGCGTAAACAGGTGCTGTGGCCAGTGAATGGTTCTTTGTAGCTCAGAGGTGCACATACACCCTTAAAGCACACTTGGCATAAACCAAGCGTATGGTTTACATGTTACCTGCATGACTTTTTTCATCCAGAAACACAGAGCTCTCCTATTGCAATAATTATTATTTTCTGTATCAAAGGATTGTCACTATAATAGAGCACTTCCTCTATAGCCATGAACACACCTACACCCTGTAATGAGAATCTACCTGTCCCGCTGGTTATCTTGTAAGATACCTGGATAAGTATAATTTCCTTCTTTATGGGATTTGCACAATTTTATGTGTGTATTGCTTTTTCACCAAGGGCTGGACAGGATATAGCAGACTAAATTTAGACTGAGAACAAGGACAACAAGTTGAAAAGTCTACAGTAGAGTGTATATTTATAGTTGCAGTTATAAATATTTTTCCCTTCCCAGTTAAACAACAGAAAAGATGTGATGAAGCCATGGTTGCATCAAAGCCTGTAGGACTTTTATTCTTGAAAACCTGATCTGGTGGAAGTCATCCAGTATTATGATCTGATACATTTTTCAGTCAGGGCTTTAAAAGACTGACTAAGGAAGCTTGGATGGATGGGATGGAGCAAAGAAGAGTGGAGAGAAAACAGCTATAGCTGCCGTGTGGCTAGCGAGTAGAGAAAGCTTTGTGTGATCCTGTTTAAGCATTAATAGTCTTTGCAGGGTACAGGGATCACAGAATTTCTTCCTGCTTTGTGTGGGGGAAGGCAATAGAAGAAAGACAGAAGAATGAAGTGGAGCATGCCTTGTATTTCTGCAAATACACCCTAATGCCTTGCTGTTCGTGAAACAGAGAGCCTTAGGCTGTTTAGAAGTAATGTAAATTAATGTGGTTGTCTTTCTTAATATAATGACTGGGAAGTGAGCATTCTTCAGTTTTAAATGTATAGCTAAACCCTTGGTTTCAACAAAAGCTGTGTTTCTGTGTAAGTTATACCTGTTAAATTTCAGTAAGTCTTGTTTCTGAATAAAAGAAGAGACTTGAGGGCTGAGCCCAGGACAGGAATGGAGATAGGATGACTGATTTGTCTGCATTAGACTCAGAAGTTGTGTTTGTGGATCAGATCCTTCTTAGCGAGAGAGGCTCTTAAATCTGAAAGGATTTAACTTATTAATAAACAGCTCTTTCCCCTGTGCCTGATCCCTCACATACATACTGCTCTTATCTCGTCGGGTGATGATAGGAAAATTAAACATAGCTTTCCTGATTTAATTACACTGGTGTATAATTGGTGGATGAATGATAGGTGAGGAGACCTTGTGAAGATTCTCAGATGTTTGTACTCTGCATGGTTTGCCCTCGAGGTCAGACTATGCTTTTAATTTGTATTAGCTCTGTTTCATCTGTGTTGTCTTGTCCTGGCTATAAGCAGTTGAACTCTGGGAGATCTAAAGGTGATCTGTGAGAAGATTAAGGAGAGGTACTGCTTGTCGAGTGTTTATCCAAAATCTTGTGCCCCAAGCATTAGAAGAGGACTGCAAATGACTTACCTCTCTGGTGGGCGAAGTGAGTATTTTCTGAATGTGGGTAGTTCCTGGACATTCACAGTCCCTTTCACAGTCAACAAGACCATATGGTCTTGCCAACACCCTATACCAAAACAACAGGTGTATTTTGGTGCCTTTGTTGGGTAAATTCCTGTACTCACACTGAGCTATGCCTGATAAAACTTGTCTCTTTGATTCAGGTATAATTGAGCTTCAGAGAACGGAAAGGCTGTAGGAACCAAGAAAAAGAGTGGAGAAAAGACAGTCTTGTGTGCTGGGCAGAGAGCTGGCTAAGAGACCAAGTCTCTGCCTGCTAGTCATGAAAGGAGTTAATTACTTATTCCCCTGGTGACTCGGTTTTGGGGAGCTTTGTGCTTAAAGAGTGATAAAGGAGTATTTTTATCAAATTATGATATAACAGTCAATGTGTCGTGGTTATTTTGATTTTTAGAGCACTTGCTGCCATTGTGATGGGAGGTGCATAGCAGTCATATTAAAAACATCTTAAGAGTAGCTGACCTAGAGATTTGTTCCTGCAGTACAAGTACTTTCAGGAAATTCTTTAATAAACACTACCTGTCTCTTTCTGTTCAGCACCTAAGAAAAAGTGTTTTAATTCACAGATGTGGTAGGCTTTAAAAACCCATATATTATGCTCTTGGAAACTAGAACATTGCATATAAAATAACTCCTTGAAATTTCTAGTGCTACTGCTGCCTCAAACCAACTCATGTTATTTGGACTACTGACTCTAGAATTTTATATAGTAACAAGAGAAAAGAACAAAGATATATGAATAAGTATAGACTATATAGAGCTATATTCTCCACTCCAGGTACACATCAGCATTCAGTCATCTAGAGCAGTTTTCAAGCTCTTTGGGTTGGTGTTTTGTTCCTATTTCCTACTATTATACTTCTCAGTAGAGGCAGAAGACGGATGCTTAGGACATTCCATGCCGTCATTCTTCCTGAGGAATCAAATCAGGGAGAGGACTAGTTTAAATTGGTGCTAAAGTGGCCTTTTGGGGTTTTAAGGCCTCTAGTGTATCTTTTTGTCACTTCAGTGGTTACTTCTGTGGGAAGTGCCCACCAGGGCAAGCCATACTGTGAGCATCTGCAGCTAGCTGCAACTTAGAGCTGTTGACAAGACCTCTAGAGAGCTTGTCTCAGCACCTGATACAGGAGAGGTGGTGATCATAGTCTGAGATCATTTCCTCATTCTCTGGTGTCTGCCTGATGCTGTGCTGGGTGCGTTAGCAAGTGTTTGTGATAGAGGCAAGTCCCAGAGTGGAAGCAGGGCTGGCATCAGCAGATGATTTCTGCTGCCAATACCAGCTTCCCAAATGGAGTGAGCTACCCTGCTGAGCCCCTGCATCTGTAGCAAGGCTTCCAGATGTTTTTTGGACTGATGGGCCCCTAAAATATGTGCTGTGGAGGTGCAGATGCTGTGCTGACAGCACATGTGTCCTCACAATAGCTTACTTTTATCAGCAGCTTCTACAAGGAAAGAATTTTCCAGTCTCCCCCTGTACCTGAGGTGTGTGTAGCAGAACAGCATGGCAGTGTAACTCTTGTGTGGGTTTGTATGGCATTCTCTTTTTCTCCCCTTCCCTACCTGCCATAACTTGCTGATAAGATCTATTGTAGATTAGATTTCAGGCACTGTTTGAAGTGTTACCTGTTTGTCTAGGACACATCATGGAAATTCTCTGGTTCCTGTTGTAGTCTTGAGCTGATGAAATAGCAACAGGATTGGAGTGATCTCTCTAGGGTTAAGTCTTTTGTGTGTGTGCGCCTTCTCTCAAGAGAAGCCAATCATGATAGGAGCACAGTGTACTCTGAGGCCTATGTTAATGAAGGCTCTCTGCTGGCATTCCCTGTGCTGCTGAATGCATAATGCACAGCTGTTAAAAACAACCTTACTCCATCGAAGATTTCATTTCTGGCTTCACTTGTGTCTCCTCTCCCTGCAGACCACATATTCCTGTATTTGCATTTGAGGCTGTGGGGGTTTCTTGGTGGTTTTGTTTTTCTTAATTAGGGGACAGTGTACTAAACTGGTAAGGTAAGCCTACAAAGCATTGGTAGCTTCTATTTGGTTGTACCTGCCAGAAAGCAACCAATTTCATCTCACTGGGAATTTGTTAAAAAAGGTTTGGTAGTCTCCTCTGTCTCTTTGTTCAAAGGGATTGCTGGTCCATATATGTGTCATCAGTGAAAACAGATTGAAAATCTTTGTCTCAATTTGTTTTAAGATGCTGGTATTTTACTTGCTGAACTACTGTTTTGAAACATTAGTCTGTGATGCAAAGTATTTAGTTTAATAGCCAGGAACATGTCCTAAGGGCACAAATTCTCATGGCAGGCTTGTCAGACTGCCCACTGCCTGTTCCTTCAGTCTGTGGAAATATTTGTAAAAGGTTTGGGTGAATACTTGCCAAGCCCAATTATGCAATTATGTTTTAAGGGCAATTTTATAATTACAGTGGAGGATGGTAACCAGGATACAGGAGTTGTTGAGGTTTGATTTTTCCTATTTTTTTTTTTTCCTATGTGACTTTGCATGAATGCTAAAATATTCGGAGCAATTCTAGTTAGAAACCAGTTGTTCAACTTTCCTTTAAACAGCTGGCTACTTTTATAAGTGAAGCTAAATTAAAGATTACTCAAACATTGCTCAGGAAGGCTGGAGG